GAAGCCCTACAGGGCGACTCATCCTCCCCACACCTATTCAATAAGCAGTTATTAAGGATTTGTATATTCCCAGCACTGTTGTAAAGATGAAGGAACAGCCCCAATCTGTGTAGTGATGGCAACTTGGCCTGCACACTGGACTGCACAAAGCAACAAAGCAAAACGAAATTGATTATTGGGTCTCCCCCTCCTCTCCAAAGGTTGTGTTATAGGAATGCAGGATTATGAACTGGTTTCAAGATTTGAAATGATTTTGATGTTAATGTCCAGCCAAGGCTAAGAACTGTTACTCTGTGATCTGATGAGAATGGCTCCCATAGACTCAGATATTTGGATGTTTCAGAAGAATTAGGAGGTGTGGCCTTGTTGGAGGAGGTGTGGGCCTGGAGGTAGACTTTGAGGTTTCAAAAGTCCATGCCATTACCAGCCTCTCAGTCTCCTTCCCCTCCCACCTACCTCTGCCTCCTGGTTGTGGGTCAGATGTAAGCTCTGAGCTTCTGCTTCAGCATCTTGTCTGCCTGCTTGGTGCTGTGCACTTGGTACGGTCATGCACTCACCCTCTGAAAGCGTAAGTCCCAATAGACTTTTTCTTCTATTAGTTGCCTTGGTCACGGTATCTCTTCACAGCAATAGAAAAATAACTATCCTTGGAGGGTATGGCACGTGGAAACAGAGTTGAAGGAAAGATCCAAGTTACAGGGGGAAAGAAGAAGAGGGAGAAAGGACACTCAGATAGAGGGAACTAAGGGAACTAAGGAACCGGCCAACACAACTGGAATGTTGTAGCAGATGGGGGAATGCATTTCTGTGTCGGACCAAAGGCCTCGTCTCCAGGAGAGCCACTTACAGGTGGTTAAGCAGAGTGCTGTGGTTTACATGTAGGTGAATGTGGGCCCACTCATGGTACTGTTTTGGAATGTCACGGAAGCAGAGCCTCACTGAAGGAACTGTCCCTGTGTCTTGAAGTCTGATAATCAGGGGCCATTTCCTGTCCACTCTCTGCTTCCTCACTATGTGTCCATGTGGCCAGCTGCCTCATATTCCCAACATCTTCCCTACCATAATCTACTGCATCCTCTCTCAAACTGAGCCAAAACAAGCCCTTCTTATATTAAGGTGCTTTTATTGGGCATTTTGTCACCGCAAGAAGAAATGTAATCAGTAGGTACAAGGGCAGACATAGTGACCTCTAGGTTCCTTCTACACCTCACACACACTGTCTATCTTCTCCCATAAAGAGCCATACAACTCACCTAAGTGAAGGCTGCAGGAAGGCAATTTCCTTCCCTCCCCCCCATACAGAGCAGTACCCCAACAGGAGAGAGGGCATGATGTTTGGACCCTCCATCACCTCAGCCGACCACGGAACAGTCATCAGCAGATACAACCCTTTTTGTGTTGCCCTTTCTGAAACTCTTGTCTGTGTGACTTAATTTCACTAGAGAAACCTGCCAACTGCAACAGTGAGAGTAACTCTGAATTTGTCAGTAGATTGACAAAAATTCTGAGGTAGAACTGGCTTTCAAATACATTCCAACAAAGTAGTGAGTTTGCCACCAAAGACCTCAGAGGGAAAACTATTCGACATACCATCCTAGGGACAAGTCACTAAATAATTCATTGACCTCATCACCATCCTCAACTGACAGATTTGGATGCTAGATAAGGTACAGAGAGAGAGAAATTAAAATCATTTAGTTACTAGATGGAACATTTGATAGAATCAATTCCATCATTCAAGTGTAATAAATAAGAGTCTTCGAAATGGACAAAAACTAAAAATAAAAAAAATAATCCAAACCAAGTGATGAAGGACCTCTGTGATGTGATAAGGAATAATAAATGTACATTTTGGGGGACAGTTTCTAAGGGCCCTTGGGATTTTCTGAGAGGTGACAAATCCCTTCCTGTTTGTTCTAAGCAGATGAGTGACAGAAGCGGAAAGTTCCTAGCTAGCTACAGAGGTGTCTAACCGTCAGGAACAGCACTGCCTCAGAAGTTGAGAACATTGGGTTGGGTGCAGCTCTTCTCAGTTCCTTGCATCCAACCTGACTTCTGGGGACTGAGATCGGGTCAGGTGGTCCGAACAAAAGAAACATCATCCCCAGGATCGTGGACTTGCGTACTTGGTCCCCAGCTGGTGACGTTACAGAAGCTTTCACACATAGAGCCTTGCTGAAGGTTTGGGGAGTTTAGAGCCTCACCCTACCTCTAGCTTGCTCTCTGCTTCCTTCATGCGGATGGAAACGTGATCTGAGATTCCTGCTCCAGCAGCCTCCGCCCCCACCATTTTGGACCCCCCTTCAAGAACTGTAAGCGCAAATAAACCCTTCCCACTAAGTTTCCTTGGTCATGGTGTTTTATCACAGCAACAAAGGAATGAATATAGTCACCATCTGCTGAGGATTGTCCCTATCATGCCAACACAAAAATGGGGACTCCCTAAAAACACTACATGAAATTTAGAGAGATTCTGAGTTGGCCATCACAACTCTGAGCTAGGAATTAGCATACCCTAATACGGATGGCCCTATGCTAAGGACCTTTCTATATCTTGCCCTGTGTGGCTCTTCTGCTGGCTGTTCATTATATCCTTTATAACATCCTAGTAAATAAAACCGAAACAGCCCATGTAGTTCTGTTGGCTATTACTGAACTTAGAGAAAAAGGTTGTGGGAGCCTTCAATTTGTTGTCAAGTGATTCCACTTGGAAGAGTGGAAGCACTGTTTGCAATTGGCAGCTGAAGAGGAAACAGCCTTGTGTGACTGAACCCACATCCTGCCAAGTCTGGTAAGAAGCTGCATGATTCAGTTAGATGGCAGGACAACCAGCTGAGACCTGCATAGATTAGGACAATCACTTGGCGTGGGCAGCCCACCCAGTGAGTGACAAAAGGGTGGTGGGCAGAGAAATGGTTTTCCTCCCCCCACTTCCCTTCCCTCTAGCCAGGGCTGAACTTCTGCACCAGAAAGCACTGCTCATTGCTCCTGGGGCAGTGTTTTCCCTGCGGTGCCCAAGCATGGTGCCAGAAACTGTCATGTTCCTTCCCAAAGGAGAAACAGGAACTCCCTTTGACCTGAATCGTGTGGAAAGATTGCAAGCTCATCCAGAGAGCAGGTCTGTCGGGGAGAACAAACCCCTGGGAGACGTTGGGTACTCAATGAGCCTGGAGCATGGAGCATGAACACATCCAAAGGATACCGAAGCTTCCAGCCCTCACAGCAATTTAAGAAAGCTGAAGCCCAGGGGCGTAATCAGAACCTTACAAACCGCCCAGCCCCACAGATGGCTTTTGTTACTGTTACTATTGTTGTTTGCAGCCCAAACAGAAAAGCCTCCCTCAGCCCTCATCTCCGCCTGAGAAAACTGGCTTGCCTCAGGAGAGCTGAAGAAGAAGAAAGGTTATTTTGTACTCTAAATTAAACAGAAAAGGGAGGGGGTATTTTCTCAATGTTTACTCTCTATTTGGGGAGTTGCCCAGGTTTATTGGTGTCTCCAGCAGGGCAGTCCAGTCTGTTAATCCCAGAGGGAGATGAGAGAGGACCCGACCCAGCACCGCGGCCTTCAAAGACATTCAGCACAGACTACTCCTAGCTGGATGCCAGCTTCCTCTGAGCACGGAGCACCCAGCTTGCCATTGCTGCTGCCCATCTCCAACATGAAGGGATGAGTAGCATCTGCCGTGGTGTGGCATGGAGTGTGGGTGACATCAGTGTGAAAGAACACATGTGGAAAACATGACCCTTCCCTCTAACAAACCACTTCTGGAAAGTGGCTTACACATCATTTACATTTAAGAAAAGGATTTAGCACCGTGCCTGGGAAAACCAGCTTTGCTCAAGATGAGATTCCATCTACAGAGATGCAGCACCCTTAACAACGTGTGAACCATTTTCTGCACAAAGTACTCCCCCTATCTCAGGATGCTGCCTTGGAAGCCAGACCTTTTGTTTGGCTGACTGTTTTTTTGTTGTTGTTGTGTTTTTGTTTTGTTTTTCTTTTCTCATTCTGGAGACAAGGTCTCATTCTTCAGTCCAGACTAGCCTCATATTCACAGTGATCCTCCTGTCTCAGCCTCTGAAGCTCTGGGATTTCAGGCTTGAGTCACCATGTCTACCCTTCTGACCTATTTTGAATTCTTGGCTCCAAGAAGTGAATGTAAGATGTGGCTAGAGGGTGGAATTTCACTTCCACTGCTAAGGTGCTTCATAAAAATACATATCCCAGGACAAGGCAAGTCCCACCTCCCACCCCACCCCCCACTCTCTGGCTGAGAAGGACAAATACCGCTGTGGGTAATATCTCTTCTCAGGTATTGCCACCTTATCCCTTCAAATCTTTTTATTTCAAGCCACCACCGCATCTGGTGATAAAGAGAACAACAAAAAGAGCTTGGCAAACCAGGCTGCTAGCAACTGAACCAATGCCGAGAGCAAAGCAAGAGGAAAGAGCTCACTACAGACCACCAAGGGAAACTGGGTACAGGGGTGCGAAACTGCCTTCCCTTCACACAGGGACATTTGTCTCGTCCCTAGCCACGGATACGGGAGAATGCAGTGTTCCATTCCCAATGCCTACAGACTAAATAAGTGAATACCAGGGAGGCCAGGGGCCCCTAGGACCTGTAATTAATGACTACACAGCTGCTCCCAGAGAAAGAATACCCATGCAGAGTCCTTCTCCCACAGGTACTTAGCAAGACAGAAGCAGACACCAGCAACATCCTGGGCAGGAGTTGGGGATGCTCACAGGAGGCAGGATTGGAAGTCTGTGGTGCTGCAAGTAGCAATTGTTCTGAGGGCAACACATGTCTGTGAGCCATTTTTTAAAATGCTCCGCCAAGCAAAGGCTGGCGGCACGAAGACGGCAATCCTAGAGAAGGCAGCCTGCACCCAGGCATGTCCCCTGGTCTCTTTCCATCCACCAGACTCCCTGTGGAACCCCGCGGTTCTGGGGCGGAATGCTGGTAGTGGGGAGAAAAGGGAAAAGGCAGACTTACCCAAATCCTCCGGGCTAAAAGGCGCGGGAGTGGCGTCCACAAAATCACTGTCTGGGGGAAAAAGGAAAGCAGAAAACAAAAACTGAGTCGCTGCGACCACGCAGGCATCCCGGAGAGCTCGGGTCCCTTAGAAAAAAGCTCGGGGATCTCTGGCGATTAGACTGGGTGAACCTGGATCCCCATGGGATTCGGACCGCCTAATCCACTGAGTGTGGGGACTCGCTAAAGAAACTTGGGGAACCGTTCGGCGTAGGGGCACTCATCCAGAAGCCCAGGTGCGCACCAACTTTCTGCTGGTTGGGGTCGCGCAGCTCCTGGGGAGCAGGGCTGCAACCCCGTCGTCTGCCCTCAACCCCTGGGGAGCATCGCTGGGTCCACCGGGCCTGGTGCCGACACCCCAACTCACAGAAACCCCAAAGTTTTTTTTTCGGGATTGCGGACGCTCATGGACGCGCAGCGGCCGCGAGGAAAGCTGCGCCCACCGGGTCCCTACGGCCTGCGTGCATCCCCGCCCGTTGCTAGGCTACCATGGCCATCACGAGACACGGGTGGCGCCGACTCCCCAGTCTCTGATAGAGGCTGTCCTCCCGCACCCCTACCCTTTTGCCCATCAATTAAAAATTAGAACCTTGCAAGCTCTGAAAGGATCACCTGCTCCTCTACATCGGGTCTGCCCTCCTCCCAGTGCCCAAGGCTCCTGAGAGAATTTTTCAGAGCTGGGTGCTGTTTTGGAAGCAGGCATTCCCATCCCCTCTCCTCCACCCATCCTTCTTTTTAACAGGCATTCCAGCTGTAGCCTGAGCATTAGGCTTTCCCGAAAAGCCCACTTGGTTTAAATAGGTTAAGTAATTTGGTCTCCATTTCATGGGCAGGGAGCTGAGTAACCTGGCAGAGAGAGAGAGAGTGAGAACAGCCTGTTTCTCTATCATACCTTGACTGGTTTCAAGTACAGAATGCCCAGCTGATTGTTGTGGATTGCAGCTGGCTATGGGAATTACCATGTTCAGATCACTGAGTCCTATAGTGTGGGTAGATGTATTTCCCAATGAATGACTGTGATGGCTCTGCCAGGACAGGCCTCGTGTCTGGAGTCTGAGGAGCTCCACAGACAAGAGTCCCCACAGCAGATGACCCCCTTATTCTACCTAGCAGTGATAGAGAGGGGAAGAGGGAGGGAGCCTGGCCCTCTCTCCTTTCTTTTCTTTCTTTTTTCTTTTTTTGTTTGTTTGGGGTTTTTTGTTGTTGTTGTTGTTGTTGTTGTTTTGTTGTTGTTGTTGTTTTGAGACAGGGTTTCTCTGTGTAGCTTTGGCTGGACTTTGTAGACCAGGATGGCCTCGAACTCACAGATTCTCCTTCCTCTACCACCTGAGTGCTGGGACTACAGCACTGCACCATGTTGCCCAGCTCTCTTCTTTCTTAAAGGACTGACGGTTGGCAGTTCAGCGCTTCTGGGGCTTTTTATGGGCCAGAGCAGTAGCTGCAACTGCCCTAGGCCCCGTGTCTGGGTCAAAGTGTTGCCCTGTAAAATGTCAGCTCCCCGTTTTTCATGCTAAGCTTTTGGTTACATAACACTGTGGAAGAGGCTCTCCTCCCCCATCCTGGCAGCCGTTCTTGAGCCTGCCCTGTTACTGATGATGGGATCCTAACTCAAGAACGGATTACATGTGAGTGCTGTTCACCCACCACTCCACCCCTTTCCCACACAACCCGAGACCCTCACATTTGCTCTCAGCAGCAGCAAGATTGCTTCTGTTGCTCTCTTCAGCCTCCTCCCTGAAGGTGTTTGAGTTTCTTGCTGTCTGTTCCTGGCCCTTCTTGACAATCACAGACAATATTCCATGTTGATCCTACACGTTTTGGGCATGTACAGACCCTTAAGTAACTGTGACCCCTGTTTGGAAGGTGTTCCCATCTGGCCTGCTGTTACTCCCCTCAGTCGCTCCTGTGGTCCATCTGGGCTTCTCCGTTTGTACATAGTGGGTTCTTCTCACCCTCCATTTAGCTCTCTGACATTCTCTCTCATCCTGGCCTTCTCCCCAGTAAGCACCCTGTTGTCATTAGTAACACCATCCCTAATGTCAAGGCCCAACATCCCATACCTATGGTCTGATGTCCCCTTGCCTCTACCAGAATTTAAATGAAGCTTCTCAGGGTCTTTTCTCTGTCCCCTATTCTCCTCATGACCTCCCTCCCATCTTGACCCTCCTCAGTCTCAGGTTCATTGCTATAATTTTCATTTATTTGTCTGATGGTTCATTTTCAAAGGTGCCTCAAGACAGTTTATGGCCAGTTACAAATGAACATAAAACACTAGAGCCCTGCTAACATGTGCTCCTTCAGCCGTTCATACACACACACTTGCATGCACGCAAATTCTGCTACACTATGCTCCCCACCGCCACCAGCCCCAAACTGTAAGTTTAGAATAGAAAATTAACAGCCAGGCTTGCCTAATGACCTGAAGCTGTGACAGGGTCGCGTGCCTGATGAGCTCAAAATAAACAGGGTGTGAAATGTTGAGATGATCCTACAGATGGCTTTGTTGAGAACCAGGCAAACATACGTGACAAAGAGAAAAACAAGACCTGGATGCCATGTGAGGTCGTCTCCTCTGACTCCACAGCAGAGAGGGAAGGGAGGAGGAGGCTCATTGCGCTAAGCTTTCAAATCTGCTGGCACGATCAGCATGCCTGCCACGTGGGGCTGATGCAGGGCATGGAAACATAAATTGCCTGGCTTTAGCCACTCTCAGCCTCTGGTGGTGCTCTTATTATGAAGTGGAGATCTCCATTTCTCATACCCTCAAATCCACAATCTCTGCTATCCAGCCTAGCAACCACATTTTCCTGGTGTATTTTCTCTCCTGCCCTCCTAACCCCAATAGAAGGCCAGTTCCACTGAGGACCAGACCCAATTGACATGATTTTCCCTCTCCTACTTAAACTGATGCTTTCCTTTGTCCTAGGCTCTTCCCATTGAGCGTCAGATATGCTAATTCCTGTCTTAATTCCTATCTTCTTTGATTTCATGTTGTTCTCCAGGTGCCACTTTATTTCTTAACTGCCCTTTGCAATAGAATTCATCAAAAGCATGGTGTCAGTCACGGTCATTTCTCCTTTAAAATTTCAGACGCAAGCCAACAAGTTTCTGACTGACTTCTTTGCTGAACTGTCCTCTCTAGTCAAGGTCAAGGGTAGTCTCACCACTGACAATTTCATGGGCTGCTCTTACTCCTTATGAGGGCATTCAATGTCAATCAGACCCTGGTTCTAACAGCAGTCACACCATTTGCTGGCAGTTTAAGCCAGACTTTATTTTCTATAAAAATGGATATTTTTATTGCTTGTTGTCAGTAATCCAAGAAGGGAGACAGCCTGTTGTAAAGATTGAGGAGTTACTGGTTATTACTGGATATGATGTGCCTTTATAGCTCAGGTCAATAGGATCTTTTTGTTCACTTAACAGTTTCAGTTATGGAAAGAAACACACTCAGCACAAAATATGTTCAAATGAAGGGGGAGTGTTGGCTGTTGTTTCTAGCACTTGGTTTGTATTCTAATAGTTGGGCTGAAAGCTGGTTGCATGGCAACAACCCCCCCATCACCACCACCACATGGTTTAAATATGATAACCCAAAGCCAGTGTATTGGAATTGTGACTCCCAGGATCTTGGGTTCCTGCAGAGGACTTTTGAGAAGTAATTAGGATTTGGTGAGCTTGTGAGTGGGGCTCTCATGGTGGCATTAGTGGTTTAAGAAGAACAACTAAATCTGAGCTGGCTCATGCTATGTCCCACGTGTTACCCTCCATGACATTAGGATGCAGCAGGAAGATCCTCATCAGATACTGAGCACATGCCCACAACATAGGCTTGGGCTTCCCAGCCTTTAGAACCACCAGGCAAGTACGCTTTTACCATGCATCACCCAGTCTCCAGTGCTTTGTTACAGCAAATGTTCCATGGTGTGATTAGGACCTGGAGCCTGCCAAGCTGTTCTGCCAAACTTCTCTGACCCACAGTGGACCTGATTTGTTGTATAAATGGATGAACTGCAAACCAAGGACTTTCCTCCCAGCACTTCAGTTACTTGCATTTCCCAATTAGCTGGAAACTAATGAGAACACATTTTTTAGTTTCAATATTTGCTACTAAAAAACTTTTCTGGAATATGTAACTCCAATTTTCTATCTTATGAAGGAGAAGTATAAATATATATTTATATATTACCATATATATACATACAGATATATATGTATGTATATATGTTTATATATATACATTAAATATGGTAAATGAAATAATGGCTATGCCAGGGCATGGTGATGTACACCTATAATCCCAGCACTTTTAAGGCTGAGGCAGAAGGATTGTGAGTTAGAGGTCAGTCAGGACTATGAAGAGAAATCTCATCTCTAACAAACAAAGATTATATTAGTTGGGAATTTGCCATGCAGTGCCAACCTGTGGGACTCTGCTGGATAAGGTTGAAGCCTGATATTTCCAGATAGCTTCTGTGCTTGGTCTATGATGGTAGATTCCCTTTTCTCAGCAGATCTGTGTGTATGTATGTCTGTGTGTGTCTGTGTGCGTGCATGTCTCTGTCTCTGTCTCTCTCTTTCTCTGTCTCTTTCTGCCTGATCTGCTAACCCAGGTCTTCTAAGGAATATCACATAGCCTTTAGGGAAGATTACAGGCTGGGACCCTTTCCTGATAAGAAACCTGCTCAGCAAGCACCTGGGAATTCCTGGCTGTACCTCACTATGCTAAGTTACCTTCAATTATACTTAAAGATAGAATAACTAAGAATAATGAAGTACTGTGTTCTTCGTATGATAGGACTGTGCTACTACATGTAAATGAAATGCTGTACTCCTATATGTAAATCAAGTATCCTTAGCACCTCTAGCCCCAGCAAATCAAACACATTCACCCTCAAAACCCCTCCCACTGCCCAAAGTTTATAAATCCCTGATTTCATGTGAAATAAAGGTGTGTGGCTGTATGATACCATCAGCCCTCCACTATGACCACCTAAGATTCATCATTTATT